AAAAAAAAAGAAAGGGAAAAGATGCAAGACATCACATGAACGCATACTTTGAAAAACGCACCTAACTATTGATATGCTACTATTTTAACTTTTTTAACTAGAGAGTTGAGGATCTTGACTCCTGAAATAACGCCGGAATAAAAGATGATTGGGAATATCTTCATAAGAAAAGCCACCGACCAATCTACACCATTTCTACATTTAAGATTGGTATGCTACGTTATTTGCATGTTTGATATGCTACATTATTTGAAAGCCCACAAAAAGGAAGGAGAATAAATAGGTCAGGAGTATTATGACATGTTTGGAATTGTTTATCAACAGCTTTTTAATCATGATTTACGGAATACGAAGTAAATATACGGGATGAGTTTTGTTTTGGTTTGAATAAAACATGTTTATAAATGATTCCAAACAGTATACTAAGAAAAGTGGCTCATATTGACATAGGCAATTTTTGTGAGTTAACCCGAAATTCAGAACGGATTTGTGAGAAGAACATGACATTTTTGGCAACTCTAATGTTTGGATAATCCTGCTTTATGCTTGCTGATAAGGTTTCCCCCCCCCCCCCAAGATACTAACGGTTGAAGGTTATAGTGAGATCGAACACGCAACCTTGCAAGAAGAGCTATATGCTACAAGGCCATTTACTACTTGGTATTTCTAGTTTTTTATTTACTAATTGAGAGAATAAATATTATAACTCCAATCACTAATGGAGAGAATACATATTAGAACACCCCATATAGTGTGGGGTGTTATACTTATATGTATAACTAAAGAATTTTCAACTATTTCACCTATTTCCCTCCTTAAATTCGCTGTAAGGTATAAGCATAATGTCCACCTGCGGAAAGGATTTATGATTATACCGCGCGCGCGCGCACATATATATCAAACCATATTCAATTCTGTAACAGAGTTTCATTCCTTTTTTATTAAAAAAAAACACTTGTTTCCTCACTGCATAAAAATATAAATAAGAGTAAAATACTCTAACCTCTCTTGCATTTTGTCTTAATTATACAGACCTTCCATCTATTTTGAAAATATACACTTAAATCCAAACTGGTAACTCCATTAAGAATATTTTAAAAAGATTTTTTTAATTCAAATTTATATTGAAATACTTTTTATTTGCTAAATTACCTTTCATAATACGAAATCCCAAAATCTTGGTTAAAACTATATTGAAGAATTTAAGATTTTCTTCTTTAACTTAATTTTATTATTTTTATTTTTGAAAATTGTTGTTTGTTTAATATTTTTATCATATTGGGCCAAAAAATTAAGTAATTTAGTTAATACAAACATAAATTTAAATGATTTATATAAGTTTTCAAAATCAAATAATTTACATTATGTGATAAGAAAATAAGCATTCAAAATGTTTTCTAACCATTTTAAAAATATCTTAAGTTTCAATATTTCACGAGAAACTAAAATCATATAATTCTATAATATAATTGAAACTAAAAATTTTATAACATATTAAAATTTTTGAAAATATGTGCATTATAATTATTTTTTATTGTACCAAATTTTTTTTTATAGATATAAATGTTTAAATAACATTTATATTAAAGAGGGATATTTTGGTCAAAATAAAAATTTAAAAGTTAAATTTAATGGTCAACTAATAGTTGGATGGATGGAAATTGAGTCTTAAAAATATAAGAAAAGTTTGTGCAACATACATTTCAATTTGAAGGAAAGTTTATATACGTTTTCAAAATAGAAGAGAGATTTTCATAATTTAAGTAAAATAGAGAAATGTCAATGTATTTTACTTTATAAATAAATATTATATAATGCACTACATTGCTGGCAGCGTGTGCGTGCGTTTATAAAGGAAAGGGAATCAGCATCAACAAATTTAAAGGTGCGTTTAGAATAGCGATACAGAAGTAATTTTTTTTAATTTGATTTTTACAGAAGTCAAATTGAGTAAAAGTCAGATAGTATAATGTGATTTATATTTGAATTGAGTTTTGAAAAAAAAGTAGAAGCTGAAACTTTTTTGGATGATAAATGTAAAAGTAAGTTTGGATGTAAAATGACTTAAAAGGACATAAATTTTATTAAATAGTACATATCTAATATTAGATTTATATATATAATGTGACTATTTTTTAAGAAGTAAGGAAAATAAAATTATTAAAAGTAAAAAAATTTAATTTATTATTAGAAATAAATTATATATAATGTGACCATTTTAAAAGAAGTATTGAAAATAAAATTATTAAAAATAAAAAAATTTAAGTTATTATTAGAATGAAATTGAAAAATAATAAAATACTTAATTATGCAGACTAGCTTTTGGCAGCACACTTTGTATTATCCCTTGTTAAATACATTTCTGCTCCCAATTAATTTTTCACCGGTATTATCCCAATGCCCTCCTCACCCAAAAAAATGCCCCTTCTTTTAGCTTCTTACATAAGTCCATTTTGGCTCCGCAAGTCAGATTTCACAAACGTGGACCCAAACATAATTGTTGAGGAGCCTGATGACTTATGTGGTGGGGATGCACGTTTGGAGGCCCAAACGTGATCCCAAACGCAGCCTTAGTCTTTTAGCGGCGGTGACAGCTCAATTCTTCATCATGTTTTTTTTGAATTAGAACTAGATAACATTACTTGGAACAAGTAAACAGTTACAACTATCTTCTAGATTTAGAGGTGGAGGTTGGTCAAGTACGTAAAAATTGCTCTCCGTCCTATGAGACAGTTTAGCAGAAAAATCGACAATTTGATTGTCCTCCCCGTGAACATGATAAATCTGTTCCATTGTTATGCATTTATTTAAAGAGATTAAGAAAGTAAGTTAAGTTAGTTATTTGTAATAAATAAGTATTGTCATTCCTAAAATATCCTTGCTAATTAAGTATATTGACTAGAATTATCATTATTAGAAAGATTATCTTGGAAAAAAATGCATAAACATGAGAGACAAAATAGATTGGGGTTTTATAATTAGGACCGAACAAAAAGTCAAACGGGATCTTATAATAAGGACCGGAGGTAGTAATTGTTATTCTTAAATACTTTTTGCCACAATTTTTTTTTATCTTATCACTCTGCTTATTATGCTCACGAAGAGTTGAACACATAGCCTCATATTTCAATAAAGCTTAAGATTCAGTTGTGTTTAATATCTTCAGTAGAAAAAAATGTTTAATATCATTTGGGCAAAACAAGTATTTTGGGCGCAATTAATAAAAACAACAATGTAATGAAATAAAGTTTCTAAAAAGTTGGGTCTAATAGAAGAGACTAGTTTTCATAACATGGCAAACTAATATACAAAGCCTCGTTAGAAGAGGTGCCTATATTTAATACCAGATAATGTTTCAAATAGGATTGTTTTCAATAAAAGATACTTATATGTTAAAAAAAAAAAAGTCCTTGAATAATAACACCAGAAGAGAGGCAAATAACAGATATTTGATTAAAATAAAAAAAAAGAACACAGTTTCAGAAGGAAGGGTCATAAAAAAAGGAGGAAGGAGAGGGAAAGCTGCTCCATCCACACCCCAATGGCCCAATCTTGATCCAATTATGGACCTTAGATCCTTCCACGTTTGTCTATTTTGTCCCAACCGTTGTTGCCTCCTGCTCCTCATTAACGCAAAGCCCATTTATTACAGCATAGAGTGTTCGCCTTGCTGGATTGCGGGGGAAAAAAAAACCATAAGGTAATGACCCGTAAGGCATCCGTGTCCTTACAATATATACTTTTAATACTTTTAACAGTATTTTAAATAGGTTGTCTTTAATAAAAAAGATATTTATATTTGGAAAAAAAAAATTTGCATAATTTTTTTTGCCCAAACCACAATTGCATAATTGGATTTGTTACAATATTATATGAATGTAATATCTATTAATCTTTTATTAATATATAAAAGTAAAATACGACTCAGCATGCCACTTCCATATAATATATGTCATAATATATGACATATATATATAATATTATTTAATATTTTTATTTTATTATTATATTATCAGTCCCACTAAATGATTTAACCGATCCAACTATTTAAATCATGATTGGCTAATCTTTTTGGTTTGATAACCGGTCCAACTAAATATTCCTTAAACGAATCTTTTTAGAATTTAGACTACATTCTGAGCATATGACCGTTAACTTGTCACTCATCAAAGAACAATAAAAAACGAATTCCAACACAAAAAATTAAATAAAAATAAAAAATAATATTATATTTAAATATTATTTGGAATTGACGTGTATGTACTGCGTGTGAACGTTGAATTGAAAAAGATGCAAGCCTCCGGCCAAAAAAAAGAAATGAGGGAAAAGATGCAAGACATCACATGATACAAATTTCAGAAAACGCATCTAAATAAAGAATATCTGATTACTTGATGCTATTTATAAATCATTTCTAATATGTTTTATATAAACTAAAAAATGTTAAATTTCATTAACTCTCAATTAAAATTTAATAACTTTCTAATTTTATCCTTAGTTAATATATATTGTATTTTGTATGAATAAAATCAACACAATAATAAATAAAGTGTAAAATTACATATCCATACAAAAAATTTCTCCCAATACTTTATAAATAGGACTAAAAAATATCTTATCTTTCTATTTTATAAATAGGATCAGAGGAGCATTTTTTTTATGTTAGTTACTACCTCCGGTCCTTAATATAAGACCCCGTTTGACTTTTTGTTTGGTCCTAATTATAAGACTCCAATTCATTTTATATCTCATATTTATACTTTTTTTCCCAGATAGTTCTTCTAATAATGATAGTTCTAGCTAATACACTTAATTAGCAAGGATATTTTAGGAATGACAACACTTATTTATTACAAATAACTAACTTAACTTACTTCCTTAATCTCCTCAAATTAGTCAACTGAGTCTTATAATTAGAACCGGAGGTAGTATTATGGATATAAATCTTTGCACTACTACGGAGATTTCATTGAGAGTTCATTTCCCTTAGTCAACCTTCGATGGCACTTACTAGTGCTCCGGGTTCTTCTACAATCTCACTCATGAGTTATCATGTTTTCTTAAGTTTTAGAGGAGAAGATACTCGAACAAATTTGACTGATCATTTATACTTTGCATTACTCCGAAAGGGAGTCGTAACATTTAGGGATGATGAAGAACTTGAAAGAGGACAAGTTATTTCTGAGAAACTCATTAAAGCTATTGGGCAATCTCTGTTTTCCGTTGTTGTCCTCTCTCAACATTATGCTTCTTCCTCGTGGTGTTTGGATGAATTGGAAAAGATTATGGAATCCAAACAAAACCATGGGCAAACAGTTTTTCCAGTTTTTTATGGTGTAGATCCATCTGATGTACGACGTCAGAAAAACAGCTTTGCCACAGCTTTTGAGAAACACACACGCGTCTTTTCAGAGGATAAAGTACGAAGATGGAGAGAAGCTTTAACCATGGTCGCTAATTTGTCTGGTTGGGATACCAGAAATAGGTAAGATTTCGATCCCTCTTTTATTTGGTTGACATGCTAAGTAAGGACATGTAAGATTTAAATTCCTTGAGTTTTATATTAAACGATCTTCAAACTTTCTTTTAAAATTAATGGGTTTTATAACACTTACCTCAGTGCAAATTGCTCTGTTCTTCTGCTCCCACACGCTGCACTGACTCAAGAAATTTGTATACGTGGATTTTAAAGTTGCTAATCAAGAAATATTTGCTTCCTTTCAACTCCTTTATAAATTTGCCATTGTTTTCGTTCAAACTTCTTTTTAACTAATTAGAACACTGTATAATCATTCTGCACAGACATGAAGGAGAAATTGTCGAAGACATTGCCAAGTTCATATGGAACAAATTATGTGATAAATTGCCATCAAGTTTTGAACATTTAGTTGGAGATGTGCAATCAAAGGCAGAGAGGATAATCTCCAGTTTAAAGATAGGATTGGATGATAAGTGCTTCATAGGGATATGGGGTATGGGTGGGATAGGTAAGACAACTCTTGCTCGAGTTGTTTATGATTCAATCCGAAAAAAGTTTGACACTCGTTGTTTTCTTGCCAATGTAAGGGAAGATTCCAAAAGGGTTGCCTTGGTTGGCTTACAAAAGAAACTTCTTTCTTGTCTTGGACTAGGAGAACCAGAAATAAGTGACTCCTTTCAGGGACGAGATGTCATAAGAAATTTCTTGTGCCATAAGAAGGTTCTCATTGTTCTTGATGATGTAAGCCATAGACGTCAGTTGGATAATTTGGCTAGAAATAAAGAGTGGTTTGGTGCAGGGAGCAAAATAATAATAACTACTCGAGATATACAATTATTGACACAGTATGAACAGTTTGAAGCATATGAAGTGGGGAGGTTAAGTGCAGATGAGTCCCTTAAACTCTTCTGTCAGAAAGCATTCAAAAAAGACGAGCCAAACCGAAGTTATTTGGATTTGTCCAGAGAAGTAGTTGAATATGCCAGTGGACTTCCTTTGGCACTTGAAGTCTTGGGATCTTTTCTTTGTAGGAGAAAGCAATCTGAATGGAGAGACACATTAGAAAAACTGAGGCAAAATTTACATCATGATATTTTTAATCAACTTCGCATCAGTTATGATGGATTAGAAGATGAAGAGTACAGGAGAATGTTTCTAGATATTGCATGTTTTTATAATGGGGAGGCCAAATCTAAGGTCATAGGTATATTGAAAATATGTGGCCTTCATCCAATAATTGGAATTCAAGTTCTTATAGAAAAATCTTTGCTAGGCATCCAGCTTGAATCTAGTTTAGATTCAAGGGAAATTGCAGAAGATCATCATTATATGCCAGATGTTCTTAAAATGTTGAGAAGGGACATTTTCTTGCCAACAGATTTCTATGACACGTTGCTTCTTGATGCTTCCAAAGAATGTCTACATATGCACGATTTGCTTCAAGAGATGGGAAGAAGCATTGTTTTGCAAGAATCTCCTGGTGATGCTAGTCGGCGCAGTAGATTGTGGGTTTTAGAGGACATTGATCTTGTGTTGAAAGGAAATAGGGTAGGTGTTTGAATTTTGATTGTACTGAGGTTAGTTTATATGTTGCATCATTATTTCCATATTATGCTAGAAATCTTACTATCTCTCTTCGTTTTTAATCTTCATGCACGTTTCTTAGGGGACAGAATATATTCAAACTATAAGTTTGGACCCACAACAAGAATTTGAAGCAGAGTGGCACCCTGATTGCTTCTCAAGAATGAGAAATCTTAGATTACTCAATTTAAGTAAGGTGCGCCTTTTGCATAATCTCAACTCTCTTCCAAGTGCATTGAAGTTTCTTGCATGGGATCATTATGCTTTGGAATCTCTGCCATCATTTGATCAATTATATGAACTTGAGTGCCTTCAATTATGCAATAGCAAAATCACAAAACTATGGAATGGAGCACCGGTATGCTTTTCTTTTACAATCTTCTATAATATGTTATATTTGTGTGTATGATTGTTTGCCTATATGTTATTTACTAGACATTGGAAATACTGATGCTGTCTGCTCCTTTTTTTTTTTTTTTTTGGGTCTTATATCTTGCTCAGTCTTTGGGTAAGCTGAGGATCATTGATTTGAGTGATTCTGATGACCTAATAGAGACTCCAGATTTCTCTGCAACACCAAATCTGGAAGAGTTAGTCCTTACTCATTGCAGCAACCTAGTTCGGATTCATGAATCTGTTGGACAGTTAAAGAAGTTGGTTAAGCTACGTGTGGGATATTGCATAAATCTTGTAACTCTTCCAAGTTATTTGGAAACAAATAATCTAGAGGAGTTTGTTCTTGGTGGATGCATAAATCTTCAGAAACTTCCTGAATTTGGCAGAAATATGGCAAATCTATACTTCTTGGATGTGAGGAGCACTAGAATCAAGAAGATTCCTTTATCCATAATTCATTTAATAAATCTCAGATATTTAGATGTGAGTGATTGCAACATGCTCAAGTCAATGCCTGAGCTCCCTCCAAATTTGATCATATCTGGAAGCTATTGTCCTCTGTTGAAGCTTACGACAGCTCTCGTACACCTATACGACTCGCATGTCTTTAAGGTTTCATATCTATCTCTTCCTTCGTTTCTCATACATTTTTTTTAAAGGCCTAAAACTAAACTAAGACTCGCTAGTGCCTGAAGTTACCATCTCATCATCTATCTATGTGAATTGTTCTATTGAGTCTTCCAATAGAGAAAAATGGGATTTTCACATGGCTGTTAACTAACGAAAATGCAGATATTTCTTTTTTCATGTTTTTGTATCTTCAAGCACTAAAGTAGTGCCATTTGTGTATCAGAGAGAGAACAAAAAATATATTTCGGGGGCCATTTTAATTGTTTTTTTAATTTAAGATTAGAGAGATATTATATTATTCAGGGATCACATTAAAAGAAGTGTTTATACTAGTTTTTCCTTTTGTTAAGTCATCCTATTGTTATGCAGGGTCCAATTCATGTTTTCTATGATTACATGTACGCTACTTTTCTGTGGAAGAGTGGAGTTCCAAGGTGGTTTAAAGAATGGAAGCATTGCCGGAGTAAGGGTAACTCCGACGAGGTTGTGACCATAACAGCAAACATACCTGAAAATGCATATTCTGATAATGATTGTTGGGAAATTGCTATATGCGTTGTTTTCAGTCGCAGATCAGATGACGAAGCATGGAGTGGTTTCTCCATAAATTGGAAATTCCAAGATTATTGCGATGCCAATCCCCATAATAACGGAATGGATGAAGAAACTATGGAAATTTCCAATTTGGTCGGCTCCGATATCGAGTTTACGTAGGAGCTTATCCCATTGATAAGGAACATTGTCGACCACATCCCACAGGTGTAGGCAGTCAAGTTGATTTAACGCTTTGCTTCCCAACACCCAGCATTGCTGGTTGGAATCAAACACGTTATCAATACTTTGAAGTACTGGAATGTTGGTGGAGTGTGCAATGCAAGACTGAATTTGGAGCAAGGTAGAACTCAGCATGCATTCTTTCTTACAAATCTAGGTATGCACCATCATTACTACTCTCTATATTAGCTAAATTAGTTATTTGTAAAGAGTAGACACTAACGACAGGAAGTTATAAATAAGATCGAACCTACAACCTCCCACTTGCAAGAGAACTTTCATGGCAGTTGTATGGCAATTATTTCTAACATTTAGAGCTGGAGGGGTATAATTTCAAGTTTTATGTTCATCATTGTACTCTTGTCCTTGAAAAGAATAATTTCAGATCTAAATCCTTTTCATCTCTCTCCCTCTACAGTTTCGCACGATTATGCTAAGAGCTTGAAGTTGGACGGAGCTGCAAATTAATGTCAGCCCATGGTTGAGGATCTTTTCTTGGTGGTTTGTCTGTTTACCAAGTAAAAGAAATTATATTTTCCTTTGGCTTATGCGGTCAAGATATGAAAGACATTGACGAAAGCTGTATGGATTGAATGCTTGTTAAATTGCCATCTCATTTTGGCCATTTGCTTGGAACTCAGTTACGTGGCAACAAGACATAGTCATTGAGGGTTTTTTTTTTTTTTAATTTTTTGGCTGTTATGGTAATTTTTTTTTAATATAATCAATTTAAACAGTGGGACACAAGAATATGTCAATGTGAGATTTATTATCAAGACCCTATCCAAGCACAATAGACAATGTTATCATTGAAACAACTTGCTATTGACTACTATTATGGTAATATTTAATTCTTTTCGATGTAAAAATATAGGGTGCATTATGTCTTTTTATGATATTCTGAGGTGTTTTCAAGTTATATTATTAACAAAAAATTATGTATATGCATCCATATATATATATATGTATATATATAATTTAAGCCACTTTGGGAATCTACCCCAACAAAAAAAACAGTTTCTCTTTCCAACACAAACCTCTCTAATGTGATTACTTCGTACAATACAAAATTACTTGATATAAACTAATCCAAGCAAATATAACTTGTCAAAGAGATTAAGTACGTTCGACCATTTTTAAAAGGATAACGGGGATTGCATGATGATTTACGAATCAATCATTGAGATCACAAATTAGGGAGGCATGCATGTGGTGCTTTTCTTAAGAAAAATGCACTAAATTACAGTCCGAATTCATCATTAGATTATGGTCTGGCAATGTTATAAAAATTAGCCATGTCTTCATGATGAGGCAAAACATTGAATCACAAGATCCTTGATGAAGTCATCAATAATTGCTAATAATTGCAGATGCTATTTTCCCTTTAAATGATGAATATACTCACCATGGTTTCAAAAACTTGTACCTAACAATGATTATAATAGTCACCATAGAGTCAATAAAGAATTTTCACCATATAAAGCCCCAGCTATTTTTTGACGAAGGATGATCATACTAAATCCAGTTACATACCAATCATAATCCATACTGAATCTGGGATACTCCAGAAGATACTATCTCGTGAGGACACTTGCTTTGAAAAGAAAGGGGAAAAGACTCATACCTCTATGGCTATTGGCATCCTCAAAACTGAAGTCATCTATACTTCATTAAGTAAAAGGGGTTTAGCAGCTACATGCCATCACAGACAACAATTGTGAAATTTGAAGCTAAAGTTCATACCAGATATAACCTCTGGCATGACGAAGCTCAGGTTTCTGCTACATTGCTTCGGAAAATATAGAAGCAAATGTAAAATCAAAAGCAAGACTGGTTGTTGTTGAATTAAATAGCAAATATCAAACCCTCCCTAAACCATTAGGAAGCTAGTGAGTTGTAATTTGCACTTTCGATCATGTCTTCAAGATACAACTTCAGTAAAGACAGGGATTTAAACAACTCCATGAAGAACAATGATGAGCAAAACCCCATTCATAAAATCAACATCTAATTCAGAACTTATCATTGATAAGGTAGAAAACAAGTGTTTTTATCATAACGTAATACATATCTGTACTGTTGTTGGAGATGGTGTTTATATCTTAGGGACATCCAGCATTAGCATAATGCCTCGATACAGGACAACAAGGCTTGTCCTTGAACCACTGTATCCCAATGGAGGTTTCCTTCGACAAGATACTCCTCAAATGGGATCTTACATTTGATTATCCTTTCAGTATGAAACTAATAGCTTGAACTATTCCAACAAAGTTGAAAGAAACAAATCCTGCACAAAACCAGATCTCCCAGCAGCTTGTCTCATCCTTTTCTCCCGTTCTTCAGTACTCAAGGAGGGATCAAAACTGCAGGTAAAGACAGTGAGAGAAAGAAGTGATGGGTTAAGCATGGATACATTGGACAAAAATAAGAGTAATGCTTCTTGCACCAATATTTGTTAAAAAAAAAAAAAAAACTTGGCATCATCAGGCAGATCCTGGATCTTCAACAGATCAAATCAATGATCTGGAAAGGCGATCCCATGGGCATGCATGCATGAGGGTGAGTTTTGGCAACAAAAAGTTGTATTTGGATAGCCTAATATTAGAATTACTCCATTAATAATTGGTCAAGCAAATCATCATGCTTAAAGAGGCATGTCATACATTGCAAAGTGAACAGCACAGGGGATTACTGACAATTAGGATGACATCAAGGTCAATATAAATCTTTCTACCAGCCTCCCCATGACATTTTATATTCACAGATCATTTGATAGCTCAAATCAAATATTCTGATGAAGAAATCATACATGATCATTACAGCACAAGAGTTTGAACAGCTTGATGCATCTTGATTAGAAGGTTTGGTAATGACACATGTTATTGACATAATTCAATTAAAATCACAATCAAACACGGAAAAAGAAACAAAAAATCCAAAAGGTACCTTGATTTCCAAATATGTGGAGGTGCCATATTCTTTGCAGAAGAATCTTCAGCACTTGGTACCCCAGATTTTGAAATATCGTCCACTTCAGAAGCAGGGAAATTCAAAATAAGTGAGGACAAGAATGGATCAGTAGTTGCATCAGATACACTAGAACTGTTGGACCGGGAACCAGCATTACCACCACCAAGGAGCACTTGTAGATGAGCTTCACGCAGATCCCTCCCCAGAAGGGACAATGCCTTACTGTTTGGCATACCAACTTTTCTTAACCTATGTCTTCTCTGCAAGTAATCCTCAGTTAAGGGGAACCAATAAGAATAGTTGACCTTTTACTTGATAAACAACCTTTCAGTTAGACAAGCAATAAAATTTCAGATCAAAATAATAAAAGTAAAAAGGATATCTTAAACAAGTGTCCATGCTGCCGAGTTATGTGACTTAGCATGTCTCGAGCAACTTTAACTGAGCATATAGGGCAAATCTGCTAGACAGAAATTAAAAATTAGACACTAGATGTTCATTGATCTTGAGCTTCTTCAAAACTTGAGCTGATAAGACGCTAAGATGTGATCCAGGAGAAAATAAAACGATGCTTAAAATACGAATGCAGTCTAGATAGCTAAACTGCTCTCCATTCATTATTAAATTGTCACTAATACAATATTGCTTATATTACGATCAATTAACAAGGCAGCAAGTGCCAGAAATGAACTTACCCTCGAATGAAGCACCACACAGTGGGAACCATAAATAAGCACGTCTACTTTGTGTACGTGTTTAAACAATTGAAATTTGCTTAAAAAGAATTAGAGATAAAGCATAATAGACTAATCATGTTGACAAGTTGGGTTATCTTCTCCATCTCAAATAAGCTTTGGAATGAGAGAAGCACTTCTCAACTACTTAGATCGTCATGAGGAAAAATTATAAAATTATAATAAAAAATAAAAATATCACGAATCCTTAGTTAATGGTGTGTGTATTAAGTGATTGCATACCATAAGTTTTCAGTACAGTTAAGGATGCAGAGCATGAAAAGACTTGGAGAAAAAGGCAATTCATCATTTTTTAAAACAGTTAATAAGCATAAAGTCCGACCCTCCCTTGATTATTCACTAGCTAGCTACGTTAAAGATTTCAAAAAGAAAGGTTCTACTTCTGGTAAACCTTGCTACATAAGTTTCTCATAAAAGTTAACTTCATCTACTTCGGCTACTAACAACCAACGTAAGCAAATTTGACTGGGTCCTTTGCCTTCGTCCCTTCCCTGACTAATCTTAAATTTTGCTGTATATCATCGAACTTATTGTTTACCTAGGCGACAAAAGTACTCCTAAGTTACTCTGATCTTTTCATTACCCCTAGCAAAAGAGCATAAAGCTTTTAATTTGTTAAAAAATCCTATAAACGGAAAAACAGGATTTGACTATAGTTTCAACACAGGATCACTACACCGGTTCACTTTTTAACGCCAAAGAAACAGATGAATACCAATACAAAATAGATATGATAAAAGCGTGTACCGTGACCCTTGTTTCGCATGAGTGCTCATCTTCGAGATGCGAACAAAGCGAGGATATGTCGAAGTCTTCGTAACAGTACGGGCATGAAAAATAGAGCCGGACATCGTCCTCCACATCGAAATCGTCGATTCCCAACCGATCTGTGAGCCCCAAAACACAAGAAATCAGATTTTGCAAAAGAGAAAAACGCGGCCCATATATCGAATTGAAATCCATACGAACCCAAGGGCGAATTCTGACTCTGATGCTGAATCCCATAATGGCGTTTGGCGGCGGCAAGGCGCGAGGTCCAGAAGTCAGAATCCATGGAAGGATCGAGGGATGATCTTTATTATGTATGCAAGGAATGCAAAAAATCAGCTTCAGTCAAATCACCTCGTCGAACGAATCAAGCAATCACCCCAGAGAAAGAAAAAGGAAACTCAGTCGAGCAACTGGACTGATCAGAGAGCTGCAACTTGGACAGAGAGGGGTAGACTGGGTCTGGTCGTTTAGCGTTGATAATTTGAAATAATTTCTCCGTGGAATTGACTTTTTATAAGGATTTTAATTGCTCTAAGCTTCAGAAAAGTCGACCGAACCTTGAAAAGGCGTTCGGTGGCGAGGAAAATGTGTGGGTTTGAAGAGTTGGGAGAAAATGTCGGAAAAGCCTTGGGATTATATAAGACAAGTACACGCGTTTGGATTTGGACATATGTGCGTGTTTTTGCCACAGGACTGCTGAATTTTTGCCGCTTTGATTCTTTTTTGGGTCTCGGGACACATGTCTGTGCTTCGGTGCACAGTGTCCAAAGTAAAGGATCAAAGGAATCGAATCAAATAAAATTTGTCAAAGGATTAAAATGGAGATATCCTTTTTTTTTTTTTGGTAAATTAAAATGGAGATATCCAATTCCCCTGTGTGCGCCTATTTTTTTCTAGATTTTAAAATGATACAAAAGTATCCTAACTATTAAATCAATCAACATCTTTTTTAATAAACACCCGATATCCTGAGTCAGTATATTTTTCAGGTATAATAATGGGTCTAAACTAATTCGGATTGAAGCATGACAAGAACTATTAAGGTTGACGCCTCTCACTCTTATGATGTTGTATTCTCAAGCTTCAAACTCGAAACATGTGGTTAAGCTAAAACAGTTTAGCCAGTTGATCTAACGTCGAGTTAAATCAATCAACATCTTTAACAAGTATGCCAATTTAAAAAAATACTAGCATGAAAGTTCCAAACTAATACAAAAATATCATAGCTATTAAATCAACGAATTTTGATCATTTAGCAAACAACCATCACATGCGTTGCACATTATTCTTGCTGCGGAAAGCCTCGTCTGCCGCTACAAAGCCTTTTGCATGGGACAACAACTGCACCTTTGAAGCTACCTCTTACCTAGCCATCTTATTCACAGCCATTTTCTTTAATTTTCTTGTCGTGGTTTTGTCTTTGAGCTAATAAGCCGCAAATTAGGGGTATTGTTATAAATTATTCATGTGTGGGAATAAGACAAAGAAAAAGATGATGAAGAAGGGGCTGAGGATGATGACTCCACAATAGGAAGAAAGTCAAACATTGAGATCAGATTAACACCCAAAAAGAAAGTGAATTAGATTATCGATATTTTTTTTTGTACCATAGAATAATATACTCCTCCGGTCCTTAATATAAGACCCATTTAACTAATTTGATTAGATTAAGGAAGTTAGTTAAGTTAGTTAATTATAAGAAATGTGACATGTTTTTCTTAAAATACCATAATCATCTTTCTTAATACCCTCTCTTTCTCTTCTACTTAATTATAGCTTAGGGAGTATCCATAGGGGTAATTTAGAGAAAATTAATAAATATGAGAAATAGGTCTTATATTTAGGATTAAAACCAACTCAACAATTGGCTCCTATATTAAAGACCGGAGAAGTAACATTAAAGCATTTAAAAGCACAACAGTGAGCATAGATTAAGAAAGTCTCAATCAAGTTCACAAATAATCATAAATAGCCAGTCAAACAATAAAAGCAACAAGCTTACAATAGGGAATGAAAAAAATAAAAAAATACTCAAAGATAGGCTGGAGGGCAAACTGAATAATTCTCTCACCAAGCAACAAATCAGCAATCCAATTAGTCAATCCGATGTTTTGAACCTAACAACGAAATTTCAAATTGATCCAACAACTGACATATGTACAAACACCACTCTACGATGACTACCTTGTGAATGTGAACCAAGAATGACATGTTTGTACCAATTTATGATATTCCTGTGTGTTTGCACCATTTTATAACCTTCAATTGGTCATTAGTTTTCTCTGGGATTTTAACACAATATAATTCTCTAATTTTATTTATAAGCCACTTTTGGCATGTTTCACCACAAATAAGAAAACTCTTAAACCTCATGAATTATATCTTAACATATAATACATGCATTTTTTAGGAAAATGGCAATCCACAAAATAATAAATAAAGGGAAAAAACTCTCCTCTCCGTGACTTATAAATAAGAATAAAAAATATTTTGTTTTTGACAAACAAGAGAAGAGAAGTGTATGCTTTCTGCTACCAAGTCACAAATTCACAGACTTTGACTTAATCAGCTGATACTCCCCCTTTTCCTTATTACAAGTATTATTTTTAGCATACTTCATGATATACTATGTCTTCTATATAGCATTAATTTTTTTACTTAGTATTCCTAACTAATTATAAAACTTCCTAATTAATCTGTCAAATACTTCTAACTAATGACTTTTTATTGAGGATAATTTTAATATCTTATAAAAAATGAATAATCTTAATTAACTTCATTAATTTAAAATGATTCCTTGGTGTTTAAAAAAAAAAAGACGAGATGATATATATATTAAATATAAAAAGTCTACAAATTACCAAAGCAAATGCAGCATAAACAATTGCTTAGAACCTTAGAAAATACATTATAGGAAATAATCTTAAAAGGAAAAACTTGAAAATCATATAAAAATGTAAATATTTCTTGCCAAGTGATTAAAGAGTCATAGTGCAAAACCGACCAAAGTTAATCTATTTGATAAGGAGTTGGCTCATTACTCATAAAATCAGGAGGTTGAATCTTGCTCCTGATGTGAGGACATTTTAGTGAGCGATCTGTAAGTGCTTCTATAGACACTATAAGCTTAAAAGCATGTCCTAACTCTAATAAGTCATTTGGGTCAAACTCACCTAAACTTTAAAAAGAGCCATAGTGCAAATGTAAGTTTGAGATGTTGAAAGATATTTTTCGGTTTTTTAACTTATATGCTGTAACCAGTATAAAAAAAATTGAAACGCCATACTTTCAAAAATATTTACCAAAATACTTTACTTGAAATCATTCATGATAAGAACGAGTTTGGATCTGTAAAGAAATCGCTTAGGTCAAGGGTATCTTTCATCTTATGAGTGATGGAACGTTTGTTTTTTTAAAAATTAAAATTGCTGCAATTATTCTCTCTCCTCACTGTACCGCTTTCATATTCTCCCACCTCCATCCGGCTCACATTCTCGACGCATTCCCCCCAAACTGTCTCCCCTCAAATTCCTACATTGTTCTTTTATGACTGAAACAAACTTTTATTTTTGTCTCTTTTCAATAAATTAAATTCAGGACATACTTACAAAAAAGTTTTTTTAAAATAATCCCTAAAACTATAAGATGACTAAATTTATACTGATAACTCTTTTATTATAAACACTTGAGACTATCATGAATTAATTAATTTGGTTTTTTCAAAGAGGATGATTTTATCTTTATTTTTTCCTTTTAAAAAAAAACTTGAAAAGGGAAAATAAACTTCAACCTAAAAATTATGGGTTAAGATAGAAAGAGCAAATGAGTAATATTAACATGCGAGATTTGCCGGTTTCTGTATTTATTCCCACTCGTTCTCACCCTTTATTTATCTCCCATGTGGTCTTTGATTCCATCTGGAGGATAAAAGCAAATAATTAATTCTATAAACTTTTTAAATTTTAAATATAAAAAACTACACACCATCACGAAATTTTTTTTTTGTCATCATACACAATCACTTTAAAAAATGAACAGTCCATCACTCACAAGACAAAAGTCGTTCTTAGTCTTAGTCTGGACAATTTCTTTACATATTTAAACCCGTTCTTATTTTGAATGATTTCAAATAAAATATCTTGATGAAATATTTTTGAAAGTAAATATTACCTCTTATTCTTAATATAAAACCAAGTTTGATTTTTATTTTGGTCTTAAATATAAGACCCCAATCTACTTTGTCTCTAATATTTATGTATTTTTTCTAAGATAATCCTTTTAACAATAGTAGTTCTAACCAATATACTTGATTAATAAGGATATTTTAGAAAAGACAACACCTATTTATTACTCCCTCCGTTCCTTATTATAAGAGATAAATAACCAAACTACGTTGATTAAAAAAACAGTTAAAATTAGTTGAGGGCAATTAATGTGTAAAAAGTATAATATTTTTTCCAACAATGCCCCCATTAATAATGAAAGAGAGTATGAGAGAGAACAATTAAATTATTAAAAGAAAGAGAAGTGGGAGGGAGAGAGAGTATGAGTTGGAGACAAAATAAATAAAGGTAAAATAGGAAATCAATACAAAAAAAATAGAGACAACTTTTAAATGTCTCTTATATATTACCATAAGCATCAAATGTCTCTTATAATAAGGAACGGAGGGAGTACAAATAACTAATTTAATTTCTTTCTTTAATCTGTTTAAATTAGTCAACTACCTTTTATAATTAAGATGTAAGGTAGTACTTCAATATTTTTTCATACTGTTTATAGCATATCAGTTAAAAAAAGCTGAGATTTCCGATGTATTGTTGAAATATTAGGTATTTATGGTGAAATTAAGTCTTATCGAGAACAAGTGAGAATAGAGCTATGGAGCTGTCCCGCCTCCTGATTGGTGCAACCCTATTATAGTTGTTGAGAGCGATTTAAAAAAAAAGAGAGAGAATTGTATAACTGGAAAAAGTTTGAATAATGAATTAAAAATGATTGTTTTTTATTTTGAAACTAATCATTATATGTTGCTGAGTTGATTTTGTGATTTTTTTAATAGGATTTTGTTATAATTCTCCCTTAAAAACAACAAAAAAAAATCTTTATAAATTGATATTGCGACAAATTTTATGGCATATTTAAGGTGGAATATTTTTCATCACAAATTCTTGATTTTGTTGTTTAATGCTCACGCATGTGTACCACTTGAATACATTGATTGTTCTGTATGCTCATGAACCTCTTTTATTGGGTAAAGAAATTATGAATATGCATCTGCCTTTTTAATCATTAATATATTTAATCTTGTAGTTCATTGGATGAATAACATATCCATAAATTTGTCCACCCAACAACTCAATAGAACGGGTCAAAGTCGGGCGTTGATAAACATATTAATGAAGTATGAATTTCACTTCTTCCAGGTTTATGATTCATAGGATATGATTGGCTACATGTAAGGTCTCTATGCCAAACACAAATAGTATACTTCTTCCGGTTCAAAATATAAGCTAAACTTTATCTATTACACTTATCAATACATTAATTAAAATCAATTTAAAACAATAAATATGTAAGGCATATATTTATTTTTCCTAATATACCCTTATTAATGAATAGAATAAGTAAACTATGTAATAAATAAATTAAAGAGGAGATAGAATATATGGGAGTAAAATTAGAAAGCTTTATTAAATGTGTAGACAAAAGTGAATGTATCTTAATAAAAAAAAAACTAACCCCTTTAAAAAAATTTAGCTTCTATTTTGAACCTGATTAAGTATTTCAAAAAAGCCCATCCAGGCAACTTAACCTGGCTTTGTAAAAATTATTTTAATTTTAATATTACTTAACATCCTAAATTAATTTTTGATGCAATTTTGTTGTTAAAGTATTTTCTTAATAGCACTTAACACTGTAATATTGATTTTTGGGACCCCCCGGGGGTTATTTTTCCCTCTATATTTTTCTTTCATTCTAAACTAAGATTTAACGTATTTTCTTAGTAGTAATATAAACTATTTATCCTCTAATTTTAATTTCAAAATAAGATAATAAAAAAATGAGAAAAAGAGACAAAATATAGTTTAGGATGCTTACCGTTATTCAAAATAATATTTAAAGAACGAATTAAATTGTACTAAAAAATTATCTTAGAATTTGGAATATTACTGAAAAATACTCTAAAATGTTAAATACATTTTAATGGGCCATTTGCTAAATATACCTTTCGAACATATCAACCTTTATATTATTTATATTTTATATTTTTATTATTTAGCACGTGCAATTTTATATTATTTATACATATTTCTAACAATTTTAGTTTTACAAATAGACTAATAATATGTATGAATTTGCATGCATGTCTTTTCATTTCGAATTAAGGTAAAGAGGGAATGAATGTCCTTTTGAGATGGGAATTCCATATACATAACTATAAGAAAATTTTCAATTTATAATTTTTTTTATACATCATGAATGGAAAAAGACAACTAACGCAAAAGAGACAGCGGACAAAATGAAGAAATATATTTGCCAATTAGGGTTGTTTCAGTTGATAAGAGTCAGCTAATAATTCACAACATCGTGACTTTGAATCCTCTTTCTGATGTAAGAACTTTGTTAACGGGCGATCTGTAAATATATCAATAAGCGCTTTTTGGACTCAAGGCATGTTTTGACTCTCACTTAAACTTTTTGTCAAGAAAGAAGGAAGAAATATATAGGGTGTGATTGAAGAACTTGATAAAAGTATTATCCTTCTAAAAAATACCACTTTGTTCTTTATTATAAGTCACTTATATCCCAAACCTGCGAACCAAGAAATACATTAAATTAGCCAGTTTTTTTTTTTCATATTTACCTTTATTAAAAGTTGAGAGAGGAGGGGGGGAGGGGATGGATTGCATAGAAAATGAAAAGTTGAGAGAGAGATAGTGAGAGAGATTAATTTTTTTATTAAATTACTAGGGGTAAAATTAGAAAAAAATCATTAATTATACTATAAGTGACTTATATTTTGAAACAAACTTTTAGGGTACAAGTGACATATAATAAAGAACAGAGTGATACTCCTATTTATGTGGAAAGAGTATTAGGGAGATAATAAAAAAATTATTAAATAAAGAAAATGATACTTCAGGAAATAAAATAACAAATATATTAAGCATTAAAATAAGTAATTAATGAGAGTAAAATAGAAGACTAACCAAGAAAATTAGAAACATCTTGCAAAATGTTTCTTATAAATGGGAACAAGGTAGAGATGGTAATTGTTTCCTACAAAAAAAGATGGAGAGAGTACTGGTTTTGATCCTTAAAATTTGGTCCCATTTTAGATTTGGTTTACAAAATTCGAAACAGTAATTTTGGGTTTTAAAACCTTGTTTCAGGTGGGTAAAAACAATGTTGAATGAAAAATATAGTTTTGGGAATCAAATATCTTTAGGCAAAACAAAATAAAGTGAAATTTCAGGTACTAAAATTATTGGTTTCAAATCTTAAGGCGCAAATGAGGTGAAATTTTATGCTGTTAATTTGAGAATTCTTAGAAATGATGACCAATAATTCTGGTTTGATGGATAAAACCAGCTTTTAATTGATTAATCACAATAATTATGCCATTGGAATAGGAGATGATCATGCTAATAATTTGGATATGCTACATTAACCAGAAACATTAGAGATGCTGAACTCAAAGAGAACAATGAATTAATAGTTAATGAGGATAATATTAAAAATTATTTAAATTTAATGCTTTTAACTGTTTTTATTAGTAATTGTGAATTAGTTAAGAGTTTTTATAATAATTAGCAAAGGGAGTATTTAACTTATAGTTTAAAAAAACTCATGCATTTATCAAATCAAAGCACGGTTTAAAGTTAGAGCAAAAAATTAAAAGTTTATTGAAAGCGTAAAAAATTATACACACCCTTATTTATATCATTCTTTTAATCCTTTTAAATGTATAGTATGTTATTGCATAAGATCTCAGTCCAATTTTTTTTTTAATTTATGTCGCATTAAACATGCCTAGATTTAGGCGCATTAGAATTATATTGTTCACATACATGCAAGGAAGAAAGATAAAATGTATAGAAATAGATAAATGGGACTAAATTCATGCACTTAATCAATATCATTAATCATATTACTTGCTTATGTTCATTCCTGAATTGAAGGAAATAAAATGGTTGACTTGTGAATACATTAAAAACAAGGCTAATAAGGCAAACACATAAATGTTATAGTTGAGAATGTATGCAAACATTGTTTGGACTTCGAATGTGAAAACACTTATCTGTGAATATAATGAACTAAATAAATATTTCTATTCTACTGCAAAATTTATCTATTTAATTATTTATTTTGTAAGGTGATAATCAATATATTTTATTCTTTGGATTTATGGTAAAAATGTTGTCCATTTTATGTAAATTTTTATTATGCATATAGATTTTGATACTCGTGTAATGTAGGCGCCTTTTTTCGTAGTTATATACATAATCAACAGATTATATAATAGACAAATAGTGATTAAATATTAAATATTAATTTGTTTTTCCAATCATAGGAGGACAACATATTTATGATTAATAAATACGTTGAAATTAATACATAGCGTTGACTTCTGAATTTTGCATCAGAATGTGTAAACTTCTATTTTTAAAGAATTCAAATATGGGAATACCGTCATCTGGGATGAAAGATTGAAGCAAAAATTAAATGCATGGGAGTATTAATAATAGGAGAAATAAACGAAAATCCAAAAATAGCCCAAATAATTAATTATATGTGTCTTCCTCCAGACTATATAAGCCCAGGTGGTTCTCTTACTTGAGAACACAAACCAACCATACAAGTAAAAATTATATCATTCTATTAGCTTTCTCCTTTCTACGCTTAGTCAGTTAAGTAAAAAGTCTTGTGTGTTCAGTTGTAAATGAATATGCAAGGCTTATTTGCTATCCTCTTCCTGTGCTTTGTTACTTCTTCACAAGCTGATCCTATTTTTGACGTCCTCAAGTATGGTGCTTCGGGGAATGGACAAACTGATGATTCACAAGTAAGTATGCAAATATCACAACTTTTTCCTTCATTGCACTGAGTCTATATGTTATTAGAGAGAGTTTATCCTGAAAGACTAGCCTACTAAATAGGAGAATCTCTTGAACTTATAAGCCCCTCGCTTTTCTTATAATGCTTCTCAATATGACACTCGTAACAATGCATTTGAGAGCCAATGTTCTTGACAGCTTCACTTCATAATACTTCACCCAATCTTTTGCCAGTCAGTACCCTTTATGAATAACTTTCTTTTTAAATATCTACCTCAATGAAACATCAAAGTTACGAGCACAAGTCTAAATAAATAGTTACAGGGTACTGATTGGCAACAAAACTTACACGTTAAACCCCACTTTTCTTGTGAGATTCTCCTATTCAAAACTCATAACAGTCTAAGTATGTTGTTGTTTGTTATTTTGAAATTTAACTGCATCTCATTTATCAAATTTCCTGCAATGAATAAGAATATAAAGATAAGTAAACTTTTTTTTTTTACTGCCACTATCTTGATTAATTAATTGTGTCCTGTGGGGTTAACGTACTAATTTTGGTGCATTTGAAAATCTGTGGAAAGGCTTTCATGAAAGCATGGAAAGATGTTTGTAAAGCAACAAAGGGCTATCCAACCCTTCTGGTGCCAAAGGGAAGAACGTTTGTGCTGCAGCCCATGGTTTTCCAAGGTCCTTGCAAGGCTCCATCCATTAATTTTAAGGTAAGTCCATTCAATAATTAAACTTTCTCTTGTTCTATTTCTTTTAATCATATGTCTTTTACTTTGATGGACCATATGATTCCCTTTACTTCAGATCTCAATATATGTGTGTGTGTGTGTGTGTGTGTGTGTGTGTGTGTGTAAGAATGTAAATGATATTTTGTATTCATAAGATTACAATCACTTCTTCAGTTCCTATTGCAAAGCACATTTCATGAGGAGTGAGTGGTCTTTATTTATTTTAAGTTATGAAGTGAGGTATTAATTATATTTTTCTAAAATTTCATATATTTAAAATTTGACACAAATATTCATGATTTTATATGGGTTGGCAGATTCAAGGAACCATAAGGGCTCCAAGAGGCATCAGTTCTTGGAAATGGCCGAGCAGTGATAGAAACACATGGCTTCAATTTGAATACATAAAACGACTTGTTGTGGATGGCAGAGGAGTTTTTGATGGCCAAGGTGCACCATGGTGGGACTGTTTCAAAAAGTCCAAATGTCAAAGACCACGTGTAAGTTTCAAATCCGACTCGCTGAATATTTCAAATTAAAATAAAAAAAATTATATGTCTTTCTTAATTATTAAAATCTATTTTAAACCTTTTAATAAATCCAGTTTTTTTAATTAAAAAAAGGAGTTATATTATACTATATCTGAAACTTGTGGATAAAGCAACTTCCATCCTCCCTCTAATTCTATGTATAAGATACAGTTTTTGAGATAGACATGATCTTCTCTATTTATTAAAATCTATTTTAAACCTTTTAATAAATCCACTTACAGAATTTTTAAAATTTTAACAATTTTTTGCATTTTAGGCCCATTGGTTACATATTATATCACTATATTAATTAATCAAACACATATTTTCCCACTTACCCCCCACACAAATAGAGGCTTTTGCAAAAATATATTTTTAAACATTTATTACATTTAACCAATTGTAATTGACTTTTTAATCTGCATATTTTGATCATTTGCATCTTATATATATAGGATCACAGGAAGCATATTTTTATTCATTATTGATTATGAATGTGAGCAATTGGTGCAGGCTATATCATTTCACGCTTGTGAGGGGCTTAGAGTTAATAGGGTGAATGTGATTAACAGCCCCGCAGGTCACATATGCTTAAGTAGTTGCAATAGCTCTGTTGTCTCCAACATCCACCTTCGTGCTCCTAAGGATAGCCCTAACACTGATGGCCTTGGAATCTCCGAGTCATCCCATGTCACAATCCGAGATTCTACCATGGAAGTTGGTAAATAACTAACTAATCCCTTTTCTCAAGCAAGAAAGCATGAATTATTTTCATTTTGAAAAAAATCATCACAATGCTCGAGATAATTCTCTTTAGAAGTTGGGGGATCCATGTGGAGAGAAAAAGGAAAGAAATTGATAGGCTCCATATCTCAAATTCGACCCACAAAACCTCTCTTTTCTCTTTCTACTTGGACTCCAAGTTCATCTCAGTATTGCACTCCCTCTGTTTTCTTTTAGAGTCCGATCTTCACCATCAGAAATAAAAATAAAAAGAATTAGATTTGGTGTTTTAATTATTATTAAAATATTTTCTAAATTAGAATTTTTCTATTTTTGTTATATTGCATTTGTAAACTATTTAGGTCAAAGTTTAAGATTTTAAATTTATTTTTATAAAATATTTTAAGAATAATTGCTTAAAATATCAAATAACAACCAATCATTAATGATGGAGTGAGATTCTAAGAGAAAACGAGAGAATGGGATGTGAAAGGATCTGAATTTAGAAAGAATCTGGACTCGTAACAATTATTTAAAAAATAGAATCTCTTCTACTTACCCAAGTCATATTTGATTCTCATCGGGGTCTTCTGATCATTCCTGCACATCACCGTCTTCCACTTTTGCTGAAGGTGATGACTGCGTGGCCATTAACGGAGGTTCCTACATGAACATTAGCGGCATCTTCTGCGGACCTGGTCATGGCATAAGGTGATCTCACATCATAATCCCACTTTTCATTCATTAGAGTGTGTGTGTGTGTATCCATGCTTGGAAGCTATGAAATTTAAATGTGTTCAATAAATTATCTATGAAAGTCTTTGTGATGTTTGCTGGTATGAACATATATATTTAGCATCGGAAGCCTGGGAAGTGGTGGAAGCTACGGCGCAGTGGAAGAAGTCCATGTCAGAAATTGCACCTTCACCAGATCTTCAAATGGAGCGAGAATCAAGACTTGGGAGGTAAAACACACATATACCAGAAATGAATAAAATGAAATGATTTTTAACTGCATACTTCATCGCAAAGAAGATTCAGTATTAAAAAGATAAGAAGATAAAATCTAAACTTCTCAGATTAGATTAGACTTTCTCCATGCTGATAAGCCACTAAGACCAAAGGTTTAACTTGAACTTTCAAAAATAATCCCCAAAATCTACTCAACCCAGATAATCTTTACTTAATTATTAACATTTTCATTCAATCATGTTCATAACCAGGGAGGATTTGGGTATGTCAGAAAGGTCACATTTGAGGACATACTACTGAAAGATGTTCAGTACCCAGTGCTCATTGACCAACACTACACTGCTTATACTGCAGCTGACAACAAAAAGGCTATAAAAATCAGTGACATTACATACAGGAATTTCCGAGGAACTTCAACTTTAGAGGAAGCAGTCAAATTGATGTGTGATAATGCCGTAGGATGCACCAACATTCTGTTGGACGATATCAAAATTACATCGTCTGATCCTAAAATGAAGACCAAGGCCACCTGCTCGAATGCTCATGGCAAAAGTTCTGCCTCCAACATTCCTCAAGTTTCATGCCTTCTAAAGTGACCCGCTTCGTTAGGGCTCATTTTGAACTTAATTTCTTTAGAATATAGAAATTGTAGGCTATTTTGCTGATGAATACTAAGAGCTTGGAGCCTTAACTCTTTAAGATATCACTCCTGTTTGCCAGCATATTAGCAACCACCTAAACCCGGTCGCTCTGTTAGTCGTGAGTCATAACATAAGGAAATTGCATTTGAAAAAGCCTATGACAGATATAACAATTTTCAGCAAATGATGATTCAGATAGGACGACCAATCCTGATCTATCTCATGAAACAAACCATTAAGTTATGACTGAGAGAGGCACATGAAATACACGTACATTTTAGACCAAATTCATTAATATTTAGACAAAATAAATTACCTTGCAGTATCCTTTCATCACTCATGTCCCTGACTTTCATTATGCCCCTTGAACCAGGTGCAACAACTTTACTAGTTCCAGCATCTATAGTTTTGAACTTCCCACGTTGAAAAATCCAATAACCTTCAAAATATTGCATTTATAACATTTCAGATAAAAGGCCTCTTTGCAGGATAAAATATTGTTAAGAAAAAACTTCAGCCTGCATCAAAGATTACGGTCATTGTAATTTCAATTTTCTAGAAACAGACATGAGAAAGGCCTTTTTCAAAAGCAATCAAATTGAGTGCCACATGTTAACACGCTGCTTCTGGTCACTTTGCCTCACCTCCATTAAAAAAATTAGCCAAAAAACTTATCAAGTCATTTGGAAGAACAAGAACTCTCAAAATGACAAGCAGTTCAGTGATCATGTGCAAAGTCAATTCGAAACGTCAAACATGCCTTTTTCTTTTTTTTCTAAGTTTAAGCCCCAATGAAAACCATCAATCGCACACTTAAAGCTAAATGACATCGGCAAGACAAGTTACATAAAAATGTAACTGTTAAAGCACAACAATCATGGTAGAAAGAGAAGCAGGGTGTTCAACTATTTGCATATGGACTACGAACTATAAGAAGAATTTATTAAGACAAAAGAAGAATACCAAACAAAAGGTCCCCGATCTTTCCTTACATTATTGCCTTCTTAAGGTGAAGTACAACAGAAATTGTTCTAACAAGATGCACCACATATCAGTAAATTTAGAAAAACCATGTTTTTGAAAGAGATGAATGTCAATACAAGATAGATTTGATGAAATCGCGTACCGTGACTCTTGTTTCGCATGAGTGCTCGTCTTCGAGATGCCAACAAGGAGAGGTGATGTCGAAGCCTCTGTAACAATACGGGCATGAGGAATAGGGTCGGACCTCGTCGTCCACATCGAAATCATCGATTCCCAACCGATCTGAGAACACCAAAATACAATAAATCAGATTTGTTTCAAAAGCGGGAGAGTGTGAGACACATCACGAATTAAAATCCATACGAACTCAGGTGCGAATTCTGAGTCTGACGCTGGATTGCATAGCGCGTTTACCGTTGGGCCGCGGCTAGGCGCGAGGTCACGTATTAAATCTATTAAAAATATATTGAATCAATATTTCAAAAATATACACACACACGGATAGAATACAATACCATGCAGGGGGGATTGCTGTTAAGTAGAAGCAAGATACTATCTCCGTTCCTTAATATAAGATCCTGTTTGATTTTTATTTTGGTCCTAAATATAAGATCTCAATCCACTTTGTTTCTCATATTTATACATTTTTTTCCAAGATAGTTCTTCTAATAATTGTAATCCTAGCTAGTATAGTTGATTAGTAAGGATATTTTAAGAAAAACAACACCTATTTATTACAAATAACTAACTTAACTTCTTTTCTTGATTTCCTAAAATTAGTCAACTAGGTCTTATAATTAGGATCGGAGGTAGTATTTAATTATACAAAAGTCCATTAATAGCTTAAAATTTGGAAAAATGAAATAAAAATGACATTTAAGCTTGGAAATCCTAAAATGGTCATTTGAATAAGCAAAATTCCAACTTAGGTATGAGTGACCAATTTGGGATTAATTTAGGTATGAGTGACCAATTTAGGATTTGCAAATTTGCTGAAATGACTACACTACCTTTTTTTTTTAAAATTATTTTTAAAAAACCAAATGCCCTCAATAGCCGACCGGTCGCCGGAGCTCAGGTGGTCGCCATCATCAAAGCTTCAATGGCTGGTCGATGATTAGTCACAAGAGCTCTAGCAGCTAGCAAATATTTTTTTGAAAATTTTTATAATTTTAGTAATCTGGTTAATAAGTTCTGTAATGTTATTAACAGGTTCAATATATCAATTAAATCCATGTTTGGAATTTACAAATTATGAGAGTTGTTATGGTTATATGATTTGGTAACCGTATTATTAAAGTTGTAAAAATATCACTTTTTGAATTTTTTAAAAAACTTGTTAAATTTTATATCGAATTTGTTAATAGAAATATGGAACTTATTAACGATATTACTGAAATTGTAAAAATACTACTTTTTTGAATTTTCTGAAAAATTTGTTGTTAACTATTATATTAAACTTGTTAATAGTGTTACAAACTTGTTAACCGTGTAACTGAAGTTGTAAAAATTTTCAAAAAATAGTTGCTAGCCGCCAGAGTTTTGATGACAATGGCCACCTGAGCTCTAGCAGCTACCGGTGGCACTGGAGCTCCGGCAACTGGCCGGCTAGTGAGGATATTTGGTTTTTAAAAGAGAATAAAAAAAATAAAAGGCAATATAGTTATTTCAACAAATTTGCAAAATCCAAATTGATCACTGATATCTAAATTGAGATTTTGCTTATTCAAGTGACCATTTTGGGATTTTCAAATTTTTGTGTCATTTTTTTCTTAAAAATTTGTAATAAAAAGTTTCAGCATGAAAAATATAACACATTTAAACTATTCACTTACTATTAACACTTTTTAATAATTAAATTTTCTTATTGAGACTTTATAATAATTTTTCCCTGCATGTATCCTGACTGGAATTGATCATGACCAACATTCTAGTTTGACCGATAAATCCAAACATGGTGCTTTTAATTGATCACAATAATTACCCCATTGGAATTAGAGATGGTCACATTAATAATTTGGATGCATTTCATTGACTATGGACATTAGAGATAATGAAGTCAAATAGAACAATGAATTAATATATTTATTACGAATTAGGTCATGTGTTTATTTTGTTTGAATTACTCTTTTATAGTTTGATTAATTATAGGTATTCGCGGTTGACCGTACAAAAAATTAATTTTAGTTTATGAAATTTAATGAATTTTTGTGCAATTTTCTTTAATTTGTACGACTGATTTAACACCGTTTTGACATCTGTGCATTTCTATAAATGAATATAAATAATTTAAATTAAAATTATCAGATCAAATAATAAAAGTAAATTCAAATAAATGAAATAAATTATATCAATCTGATTTATAATTGAGATAAACTATAAGGACTTGTGAATGAATGTTCTCTCTGTTTTTCTCACATTATTCTTTTTCTCCATCAACAGAATTTTCTTAAATTTATAGTATATTATCATATAAAATCTCAATTCAATTTTTATATGTTGCTTTCAACATGCCTAGATTTAGGCGCACTAGGATTTTCATCACTTACGTGTATCGTATACACATGCAAAGAAGAAAGACAAAATTTATAGGAAATAGAAAATTGGGACTAAATTCATATATGCACTTAATCAATGTCATTAATAATATTAGTTGTTTATTTTCATTCTTGAATTAAAAGGTAAAAATGTTTGACTTGTAAATACATTAATTAAAAACAAAGCTAATACGGTAGACTATTGAATGACAAAATTGAGAGTGAAAAAGTGTTCGGCCTTTGAATGTGATAATATTATCCATAAAAATATAGAAAAAGAAATAAATGCTTTTATAATTCCATTGGCCATTGGATTACAACATCTATGAATATACAACATCCGATACTTAATACAATATCCAATTAATTAATTTAAGAGATTAAGTAATTAAGTCACTAAATTACTTAATTATATCATATATATATATGTTATATGATCTCTCTAAAAACTTATATGGATCATTAAATTATATATCAATTTATAAGCAAGACAAACTGATTTGGAGGAAAACGATAAGTATATATGAATAGTTTAAAATAATTTAGTAACTTACTAATTAACTGAATTTTATATTAAAGATGAAAGGTAATCTTGAACTAAGTAAATATCTCTATGCTAGTGCAACATTTATTCATCTAGTTATTTGTTTTGTAAGGTGATAATCAATATATTTCATACTATGGATTTATGACAGATATACTGTCCATTTTATTTTTACTCTGCATACAAAAATTTTGGTACCAGTATAATTTAGGCACCTTTTTTTCAGTTACACACATGATAAACAAAATGATAGGCAAATAGTAAATATACAACATATAATCGCCAATTATTTGTTTCATTTTCGAAGTATAGAAGGACAACATATTTATGATTAATAAATACATTCAACTAATGTACATGGTTGACTTATGAATTTTGCATTCGAACGTGTAAAACATCTATTTTAATGAATTAAGAAAATACATATATGGGTTTAATAATATGAGAAATAATCGAAAATCCAAAAATATCCCCAAAAAATTAATTGTATATGTGTTCCTTCGCACTATAACCCAGGTGGTTCTCTTACTTGACCACACAAACAAATCATCCAAGGAGAATTATATCATTCTATTAGCTTTCTCCTTTCTACACTTTGATTGTTGTTTTCTTTTGTCAGTGAAGTGAAAAGTCTTGTGTGTTCGGTTCTAAATGAACTTGCAGGGCTTCTTTGGTATCTTCTTGTTGTGTTTGTTGCTTCACAAGCTAATCCTACTTCTGATGTCCTCAAGTATGGTGCTTCAGGGAGTGGATAAACTGATGATTCACAAGTAAGCATGCAAATCATTTTTTTGTTTATTTGTTTTTGTATTGAGTCTACATTACAAGCATAAGTCTAGAGAAAGAATCTGTCCTAAAAGATTAGCATAACAGGAGAATTCTTTTAAACT